TATTTAAAGATAATTAACGTAAATTAAAAAAATAACTGCTGCGAAATTATGCAATTAAAAGTTCATCATAACCGGCAAATATCCTAATCGTTAATAAAAATATCATCGATAAAGCGGAATGAATCAATTCAATTCGACCATGAATTTTAATATATAACTGGAAACGGATGTGAAAGACATTCCATCATTTTCAGAACGCGTCGCGCTGTTTAACCCTAATAAAACATTTATGATTTATTATGTAGTTTGCAATCTCAACCCGCCCGAAAATTATTTTTGGGTCACTGATTTCGGTCAGATTGCTTACACCTTGAGCAGGGGTTTCGATTCGAAACCAATGGCGGAGACTTATTGCCGGCGTTGCAGTGCTCGCAAAAAGTAATTCGCCAAAATATAAACATTTTTCTGTTGAGCAAAAAAACCATAGCAAACCCGAACAATTTGTGAAAAGAAACATTGACGAGAAAGAAGTACGCACCAAGTGGCTCCAAATTAAGAAATAGTGACCAAATTTTTTTAAAACTAATAATTTATTTAGTACAATTAATTAAGTAAAATAAAAATTTCAACTAATAAAATCAAAAGATATATGTAAATTTTCTGGTAATGGTTGCTAAAACAGTGGCATTGTTGTTGTGTTTGGTCAAATTTTTAAACAAACGTCGTTAACAGCTATCCACTGTCAACAGTCATCGCGGATTTCTCTATGGAAGTCTTTGTCTATGGAAACGTTGCGTCGATAATACTATTGTTAATTGGCCTCATGGTCAAGAAATCCTAGTAGATTTTCGTAGACATTTAAACTCTATACACCCTAACATTACTTTTACCATTAACTTGGAAACTGATAATAGAAAATCAAACCTAACATTGGGTCATTGTGTTTACAGTAAACTACGCACACAGACCGATACCTTAATGCATGGTCACATCACCATCCGGCCCAAAAATCATCGGTTTCCAATTCTCTTGTTGACAGAGCCGTAAAACTATCTCAGTCTGAGTCATTGAACCCAGAATTAAAACACCTTACCTCTTCTCTTCTTTCTAATCACATTAAAGATATTAAGCAATCCCAGACTTGCCACTGTTGTCCTTCCTAATATTCAAACCATCACTGACCACATACGAAAAATTCTAAAGAAACATTACGTCAAAACCAGATTTACCGCTTGTCCAAAAATCTCTCAACATCTTCGATCTGTCATAGACAAAATTCCATTTGAGGTGCCAGGAGTTTACAGCATTCCATGCATATGCGGCAAAAAATATCAACTAGGCTCAAAGAATATGGAAGAGTCTTATGACTAAAAAAAATAAACTCATCAGCACAAAACTAAAATTCTTCCACGTAATCAATTCTTCTACCAACGAAAAATCCACCAATATGGAAATCAGTCGTCCGGGACGGTGTTTATGGCCCTGATTTAGCTCCGCCCACTTCAAACACTATATAAGGAGGTACAGAGTAAAATGCGAGCCAGTTTCAGTCAAGCTCTGAAGAAGCCAGCAGGATGATTGGCGAAACGTTAGCCAGTTCTAGTCAATAAAAACGGACGGATAAGGACTCCAGAAGTTTTATAAAAAGTAAAACAGTGAGAGATTTTCAATTTTTACATTATGAAAGTAAAGGGCCCAAAATTACTTGAAATTTTAGAGATGAACAAATTGAAATTTTCAAAGTTCACTTTAAATGATCAATTAGATCTTAATAACCCACCATTATTAAACCTATTTTTAGTTTAATTATCTAGCATGGTAAAAGTGGAAATTTATATTAAACTAACATTACATGTTTAGCTATAATTTAACCCTCTTTTATAAGTTGCCTAGACTTAACGATGATAGATTTTGTGTATATACCGACTGATCTAATTTAAATTATGATATGAGTAGAGATACAAAGCCGGCTGAATTAGCAAACTTTTAGTTTACTGCTCTCTGTTTTCTTTAATTATCATGGGGTAGTACATCAAGAGTTCTTACCACTACCTCGTACGTCAATAAGGAATATAACCTTAAATTTAGAGATTTTGGAAATTGTATTGTTTTCTACCGAGTTTGAATATGAAAATTTCAATGGACTTCTTAATTTTCCTACCAACACCACAAACGATTTCCGATTTATTTTTTGCAAACAACAGTATACACCAGTTGCGAAAACTTCCGGTTCATTCCGGATTGAATTGCATTGCTTCAATACACACAATACATACACTGCACACTGTCCCACACTAAACATATTGAAATAAAAATCTATTAAAATATAATAACATATTCGAACTTACTGATATATATTTTATTGTGTATTTAATTAACAGTTAAGTAAATATTCATACGGTTTTCAATTTAGTAACATCGAAGATAAAATTGGTAACTGATGAGCCCAATCCGGGCATAACTTTCTAAATTGTCCTCTTCATGCACTAGTGGACATGACCTACTACGTAATATTATTCACTTATGCAGCTATGCGCTATCTGCCGTTGAACTAAATACCTGAGGAGCGGTTAAAAATGATTCGTGCAAACTAATTTATCATCTTTCTCAATCAGCGACAATCGCAACGTAGAAAAATCTGGATACGCCATTGCCCAGAAGTGCTTATCGATCTTACAACAATGACGTCGTGCTTTCTGCGTTCCGGATATGGGATATGGGCAAAATACATCATATCATCGGGCCATTAATAACGCTAAAAATTAATTTTGGTCGGCAGCGAGGTAGCTAGGCTTATAGAGGAAGGAATCGTCAATATTAACAGCCATCAAGGTTGATTACTGGGAGCCTGGGGTCTTAATAATAGAAAAATACGCAAAGGAGACCATTTCAGCTGGAATTGGACGAAAATCAACCCTATTTGGGTGCACCGTCAAAATTCCTTTTTGACCGAGGAAATAACGTTGCTGGTTGATAAATGAAAGTCTAGAGCAGTTTTGGTTAGTGGCAGATAGTGGCAGAACTAGCAAACCAGACAGTATAGTATGCAAATTATTTTTTAAATGTGGAACTAAATAAAAAAGTTGAACACTACGCCAAGAGTTAACTATTTTTTGGAATTAGCAAAACGTAGAAAAGTAGCTAATAGAAATTATTGCTTGAATCATATACGCAAAGTACAGCTATAAGCAAGTTGACATCATATTAGTAAATGAGTAAGATCACGTCAAGTGCACCCCCCATTTACCCCTTTGTCATAGAAATTTAATCTATATATATTTTTTACAAGTACTTATGATCCCAGAAAACGATTTTTTAAAATTTTGATTTTAACATTTTTTTATAATGAAAATTTTAAGCACTTTTAATTAAAAAATGGATTAAAAATCAACCGTAAGAGATAAATTTATGAAATTTTTGGCATCCATGGTCTATACTTTAAGAAAATATTAACGACATAAAATATTTGTTTATTTTCGTATTGTTAACTACCTTTTAAGTTAACAAATGAAAATTTAACTAATTTCTTGAAAAAAAAAATCATTGTTTTTATCGGTCACATCCTTTAAACGTTTAAGATTTCGGAAGAAAATTTCACTGCTCGTCATTAGTTTAAACAAAATTGATTGATGGCATTGAAGTTTTATCAGTGATAATTTAAAATAATAATACAAAATATTATTATAAAACAAATTTTATTATTATTTATGTTATTTTATGATAATAATTATTAATAAAATTTCATTTTCTTTATCAACTATCAATTTTTTTTATTATTTTTACCAAACAGCGTAAATGTAGAAAAAAATAATAATAATAATTAAATTTATAAAACTGTTATGGTCTATATTTATTTTTTCTAGGTAATTTTGTAAATTATTATTTATAAATTTACTAGTCAACACTCCATCTTTAGTTAACAAAAAAAAAACCGCTCTGTTACGATTTTCATTTGTTTTTCGAGTATCCTAGTAAATAACAAAATCATAAAAGTTGAAATGTTGTTGAGTTGTGTTTTTTTAGTTAACATTTTAGTATTATAATTTTCAATTGTGATAATTATATTTTCTGTGATTTAAAATGGGCCGAGTGCAGGCTCCTTCCAGAGGATGAAACCTATTTAAAAAAAAAGTTATTTTTAAAAAAATAAAAATAAATGAAAAATTTACATTGTTAACATTGTTAAAAAATAAAGTTTTATTAATAATAATTATAATGAAATAACAGAAATAATAATAAAATTTGTTTTATAATAATATTGCGTATTATTCTTTTAAATTATCACCGATAAAACCTTCAATGCAGTTCGAGACGCTCGGCAGCGCGGCGCGCTGTCATAAATAAATTGATTTTGTTTAAACTAATGACGAGCAGTGAAATTTTCTTTCGAAATCTTAAACATAAATGTGTAAAGCATGTGACCGATAAAAAAAGCATGATTTTTTTACCAAGAAATCAGTTAAATTTTCATTGGTTAACTTTAAAATTAGTTAACAATACGAAAATAAATAATTTTAAACCGTTAATATATTCTTAAAGTATAGACATTTGACCATGGATGTTGAAAATTTCATAAATATATCTCTTACGGTTGATTTCTAATCCATATTTTAATTAAAAGTGCTTAAAATTTTCGTTATAAAAAAAAATTAAAATCAAAATTTTTGAAAAATCGTTTGAGGGATCAATTTTCCATCATAAGTACTTATAAAAAATATATATAGATCAATTTTTTATGATCAAGTGGTAAATGGGGGTCCACTTGGCGTCATCTTACTCTAATAAATAGTTATTATTATTTTACCATTATTACTATCTGGCACGAAAACCCTTCGCACCAACAAAAAACTCTCGGTCATTTACGAAAAATAAAAAAATTAAAACATGCCGAAACTCTCAATTAAAACCCCGTAAAGGTTCACTTTCCCGCCTTGCGGGAACTTAACGACCTAAATAAGAGAATCAAATAAAAGGAAAGTCGCAGCGAGGCTCTAAAAAGGGAAAACATGCAAGACAAAGAAACGTGAGTAAAAAAAGCAAGCTTTAATTCTCTCACTCACCAGAGTTTGAGCGGCCGCTTGGTGCTGAAAAACAACGAAGCACACATTTAGTTACATACAAGAGAGAATTTACAGCTACAGTGTTGCCAGCTACGCGCATCGAGTGGCACAGTTCAACGATAGGTGAAGCAGAATAGCGGTTCATCAGACAGGAAAACGAAGAATAAGTATGGCGGTTCAGTAGCGGTGTGAATTGCTTTTGTGCTTCAAGCCGGCTCCGTTATCGATTTTTAGGACATGCATAGACAGAAGAATACTTATTTTACACTTCGCATATTTACATTTGCGCCTATTCGTCAAGCCATAACTTTTACGGGTGAGATGTATAGTTCAGTGATAAATGATTTTGGTTAGTTTTGGTTTGGTTAATGAATAAATGTAAAAAGATATACGAGGTGTGTTCAAAAAGTGAGGTGGCTTTTGCAGTTTGCACTTTACTGTTTTTTTATGAGACAGAAGCGTTAGAAGTGGAACGAAGAATTTGCATAAAATTTTGTGTAAAAAATCGTTGTTATCTTATCTCAGAAACTAGTCAAAACTTAACTACAAAAGTTAATTGGGGTATTACAAACCTTCAATTTATTTTAGTGTTGTATATACAGGGTGTTTCATTTTTCGCGGGCGGGTTTCAACTTTCTTTTTTTGAATAGAACGCCTGGAGTACTACTGCATTTTTACTTCGTTTTTACCATTTTGACGGTTGCGGGAAGTAAAATATCTGCCAATATCTTCATTCGGAAGCATTTATTGTTTCACTTGAGTAAGTTTTGTTGTAGACGAAGGACTCGAATAACGGGTTGGACAAGAAATTTCGATACGTATTAATACAGGGTACGTGAAAAGTAAGATTAAAAATAAAGTTGAATACGCCTAATATTTTTGTATCACAAATATGCTGTTGCTATATAAGTTCAGTTAGTGTAAGGTGGCTATGACGACGTTTAAACAAAACAAGTGCTAGGGCGCTGCTTCCGTATTACGTTTACCACAGAGGAATCGGTTAATATGTTAGAATGGCATATATCGAACAATAAAAACCTGACCCTGGCTCTTTGAGAAGACAATCTGATGGAGAGACACTTTTCAGAAAATATAATTGCTAACATTTTTCAGAGTAATAGATCCAGTATTTTTTTATCAGAATTTAAATTCCTAACGCTACTTAGAGATTTTAATTATTATTTGTCGAAAATGAAGTGCCTGAAATTATATATATTCACATGACAATTGTTTCGACAACACTGTGTCTTTATCAAATGTAACATTTACAAACTGCCTGCTACTATATATACCGAAAAATTGAAATAAAACCTTAATTAATGTTCTGAGAATTTAAGTTTAATAATGGAGAGGTATTTGAATCTAATTGATCGTTAAGCCATACATTTGAATGTCTTATTTTGTTAATCCCCATAGCTTATAATAAATTTAATTGTCTGTTTTTTGTAGCTGTATGTAAAATATAAATATATAAATATATATATATATATATATATATATATATATATATATATATATATATATATATATATATATATATATATATATATATAGAGTAACTAACGACGAAGTACTAAGAAGCACATTTTGGCAAATGTTTTGAAACTTTTTCACCGAGTTCTCGTATGTATGTAATTGTTTTAAATTGTTCGTGTTCTGTATTAGGTTTCGGATAAATGTAGTTTAATATTGTCTGGATTTGTTTTTTGTTTTATAATTTTATCTATAATAGACGGATTGTAGCCGTTGTTGAGTGCAATTTGTTTTATGATATTAAGTTCTTTCTTGTAATTTTTTGTTGGTTTGTGGCGTATTAAGAACTCTTTGTATAGAAAAGTGAAATGTGCATAAGGGTGATTTGAGCTGTTATCTATGACTATGTCCGTGTGTGACGGTTTATGGTAAATGGACAAATGAACAACTTTTTTATAGAAGCTCCCAATAAAATAGTTGACAAAATTAAAAAGTCATCTAACATGAACAAAAATTCATTTCTAGATGTAATTGGAAGCTTTCGTGAAAGTATGTACATTAGACCTTTCTCTCAAGAGGAAATATAAAAAATAGAATGAAAAACAAAAATTCTTATGGCCCTGATAGTGTGCCTTTTGTAATATTCAAAAAGTGTGCCGACTATATCCAGTCCATTGACCTCCCTGAAAGTTTCGAGTGTGGCTCCCATCTTTAAAAAGGGCGACAGGCATTCTGCAGAAAATTATCGTCCAATAGCAATCACATCATGCTTTGCTTTGCTTGACCGATTATTTAAGTAGAAACATTTTTTTTCCGAAAGTCAGCACGGCTTCAGAAAAGGTAGATCAATTCAAACTGCGATCCATTCATTTTTGAAGCATGCTATCAACCATATTGAGTCTGGAGAGCACCCTGCCGGGATATTTTGTAATCTTAGCAGGGCGTTTGACTGTATGAACCACGAAATTGTTTTGAATAGGATGGAACAATACGGAATTCGTGGAATAGCTCTGAACTGATTCAGATCGTTCTTAACAAATCGTAGGCAGTATGTTGAAATAAGGCAGGAGAGGGACAACTTGTGTCAAATTAAAAAATCTCAAGTCCAATCTGTAGATAGAGGTGTACCGCAAGGTACAGTGCTTGGCCCTGTTTTATTTGTCCTTTTTATCAATGAAGTTTCTGCTCACCTACCTAGAGTTCGCTGACGACTGTTCAAGTCTCCTCACAATGTTATCAAACTGTTCAAGTAGAATTAATTCAACTCTTGTACTGCTAAATAGCTGGTTTAACACCAACGAACTCTTTTTGAATGTCCAAAAAACAAGTGTACTTATATTCAAATGCCCACAAAACAAAAAAGATCTTTCTGTGAATGTATGGTCGGGCGGGAAGGCCGTTGAAATAAAAAAAGCACGCTAAATTTTTAGGACTAGAGCTCGACGAAACCCTGTCTTGGGAAGCTCAATGCCAATTACTTTCTTCAAAGCTGCATAGTTATTGTTTCTTAATTAAAAATGTAAAAACTGTTTTGACTTGAAAATGCATGATAAATTTCTACTATGCTCACATCTATTCGAGATTACTCTATGGTATTCCCTCTTGGGGAAATTCAAGTCATATGACATCTGTTTTCAAATCCTAAAAAAAATCCTAAGGTGTATTGCTATACTGTAGCCGGATAGTTCGTGCAGGCCCCTCTCCCGGAGTATAAAATACTGCCTTTAGCGTGTATATACATATTAAAAGTTTGTTTACGGGTATATAAAAATAAAAATATCTTACAAAAAAAGGAGATTTCCACGACTATAATACACGTAACAAAGACTGTTTCTCCATAAAAAAAATAGACTACAATTTCCAAAAAAATAATTTACGAACACCGGTATTAGAGTCTACAATAGACTGTCCCCAGAGCTAAAGCGGAGTAGTAATGTAAACATTTTTAAATCCAAACTAAAGTGTTTCCTCCTAGAAAACTGTTTTTATAATTATTAATTAATGTTTGTCTACACTGTATTGTTGTTGTGCTCTGTCATATATTTTTATTATATAAATTTTTAATGTAATTCTCTGCCTCATTTGCATGATCTATATTGACCTACATGACGAAATCCATAATACACTGATCAAACTTGCTGACGGTTGCTTCTGCAGAGTTTAACTGAAACTTTCTCGCATTCTGCTCTGTACCTGTTTATATATTGTTTAATACTGTCAATACTATTCTTTGGTCGCGTGAAAATATTGAAAAGTGGTTTTTGGTTAATATTGACTGCGGTCTCCTTGAATCATACACTTTGCATTTCTTCTTTCTTCTTTCAAGAGTGAATATCTGTCAATGCTTCAAGCTTGAACGGAACAATTAAATATTTAATTTGCCTTTGTATTGCAGGCATCTAGCTATTAGATATGTAGAGGCCCTGCCTATGCTGAAAATACAAGAATTGTGCACTGCATTGCTATGTAAGAATCTGAAATATTTATTAAATCTAGACCACAAATCATTTTAGAAGTTGTTGAGAAGTTAATTTTTTTTCACTTCATTGAACAAATCAAAAACATCACATTAGATACACAAGATATTCTGTTTAGTTTCGACGTAGAACCCCTCTTTATTAAAATTCCTATTGCTAAAACTGTCACCATCATTTCAGATATATTAAAATCCGAGAATCTGGAACCAAACCTTCTCACCGTAATTGAAAAATGCTTGTTTGGAACATATATGAGTTCTCCACTATCACCAGTCATCGCGAATATATCTATGGAAGCCCTTGAGAAGAAAGCTCTCAACACCTTCCATCTGAATCCAAAATTATGGAAATGCTACGTCGATGATACTTTTGTTATTTGGCCTCATGGTCAGGAATCCCTAGTAGATTTTCTTAGAAATTTAAACTCTATACACCCTAACATAAGTTTTGCATTAAAATATAAACTAATAACAACCTCCCATTCTTAGATATTCTTGTCAATAGAAAATCAGACCTAACATTGGATCATTGTGTTTACAGAAAACCTACACACAGAGCCGTAAAAATCTCGCAGTCCGGGTCATTGAACATCTTACATCTGCTCTTCTCTCTAATAATTTCCACATTAAAGATATTAACCGTTCCATCACAAAATACACTTCACGACAGGTTTTTCTTATTCATTTCGGGGGACCTCCTTAGACGGCCTAGGTTTAGACTGAGGAAGTCTGAGAGCAACTCGTTGAACCTGAAATTGGATAATGTTTTGCCAGGTACCGTGAAAAAGATAAGCAATAGAAAATTGAAACATACTATTAAAGAATTCCTACAACGGCATTGTTTTTACTCCCTGCGAGCATACATTGACACTGTCACTGGTATCGGTGCGCTATAAAACTGTATAGTACTGTATAATTTTGTTTGTATTAGATGTGTGTTTTTATGTTATTTTTTAATGTGATTTTATTACACTTGAATATAACTTCTGACTTGCTACAATTGTACGTTACTTTTGTACGAAACGTAGTCAATAAATGAATCTATCTATCTATCTAGAAGCAACCTAACAATCTT